CTTGAACTCTGGGCCCTGGGCACTGTCCTTCAGCTTGTCAGCTCAAGGCTGGCACTCTATCACTTGAGCCACAGCGCCACTTCCGGTTTTCTGGTGATTTCTTGGAGATAAGAGTCTCATGGACTTTCCTGTCCAGGCTAGCTTTGAACTGCAATCCTCAGATCTCAGCCTCCTGAGTAGCTAGGATTACAGGCATGTGCCACCGGTGCCCAGCGATTCAGCATTTCTTATAGCTCTCAGGAGAAGCTGTGGACCAGTTGGAATACTAAACCCTTGAAGAGCTATTTCTAATACTATCTAACCCTCCAATCTCCCACTGATGCTTTTGTGCTCATTCCCTCCTGTTTCTACTATCATTAATATCTATTGTTTCTTTACTAGTGTTTTTCCTTAGTTACATGGTAAATCTCTCCCCTCTCCCCTCCCAGCTTTCCTCCTTCTCTCTCCCCAATCCCTCTCTCTTTCTCTTTTGTTCCTGTTGAAATATTACCACTAAAAAGCCAAAACAAGCAATGGTCATTATTTTGAGCCAGGGTCTCACTATGTGGCCCAGGCTGGCCTCAAATTCTAGTAGCTGGAATTATTGGTGTGCCCAACTCCAAAACAAAACTAAACTAAAGCGAAATGTCTTTACTACTGTCTGCTATTCATCTCTTTCGTTCACTGTCAACTTTTTAAATCCATTTTTTATTCATTTGCAACTCAATATTATAATCTACTCAATGTGACTTTCATTAAAGTTATCCATGGCTGATGTGAAGCCAAAGAAAGAGTCACATTCACTTCTCATTTTATCTAAATTTCTCAATAGCACTTATCAACCACTTCCAACAGTTCTATACATTCTTCTCCTGACACTAGTTCTCTTATTTTCTTGTCACCACTCTGGAATGTCCTTTTCCAGTCATTTTGGCTTATCCATTATCTTCTACTCAGCCATTAGACACAGAGTTCAGAGACTTTAAAATTCTTCAGGGCTTAATACTACTTATTCTTTTCCTACACACCACCTCCAAGCTCTCTTCATTGTAAACTACATGCAGATGACTTTTGAATTTATATTTTATACTTCTTTTTTAATTTTACTGCCAAAGTGATGTATGGAGGGGTTACAGTTATATACATAAGGTAGTTAGTACATATTTTGTCAAACATTGTTACCCCCCCTAATTATTCCACTTTCCCTCCCCCCAAGTTGTACAGTTCATTTCCAACACGTTGTCTTGTATCACTGTTGCATTAATTTGCCCTTTGTCCTTTGACTCACCATTTTGTTGTTCCCCTTTCCCTTCCCTAAACGTATATACAATACACAGGGTCCCCAAATCAAATACAGTGACAGCAAGGGATGAACCATAGGGGACAAAAGGAAAAAACTGCAAGAAAAAAAAAGAAATAACTTCACATAGTACATTAAAACCAACAACAACAAAGAAAAAACTGCTTGTTTCCATATCTTGGAGTTCATGTCACATAGTATCATCTTATATGGTTAATGGATCATGAAAATGTGGTATATGTACATGATGGAATTCTATGCTTCCATCGAAAAGAATGACATCGCCCCATTTGTAAGGAAATATTAAGTGAAATAAACCAAACCCAAAGAAATATAGGCTCCATGGTTTCCCTCGTTTGCAGTAATGAGTATATGTCTGAGATAGTTCTAGCAGATCACAATGGCTCAATAGCTATGTACATATGACCATATTTTATGCTTCTTTGAGTTGGCTACTCAACAACTTTTCTTAGATGTTTCAGAGGTAATTCTAACCGAAGTTTGAAGCAAGTTTCTGCATCCAGTAGCATGTGTGTCATTATTGCCCAGTCAGATACATAGTCCAGAACACATTCTTGATACATCCTTTTCCCTTGCTGTTCCATAACCTCTTTTGTAATATCACCCAAACATCCATCAAATCTATTAAATTTTCTCCATGTGCTTACCTTTATTCTTATAGCAACATCTTCCAGCTCGTCTGACAGTTTTCTAGAGATCCTTACCTCAATCCAATCTACTCTACTTCTCTCTCTGTAATCTGTTCCACATCTTGCAGACGTAGTGATTCTTTGAAACATGTTTGATATCTCATTCTGAATATACTAAACTCCTTGTAGTTCCTCATAATTTTCAGGCTACTTCCTGCCAGAAGAAATATTTAGTATTCAGTATTCAGACTTCGATTTAACCATTTTTTTAGGGAAAATCTTTCTATGCTTGATCAGCTTAATCCACTACATAACACGGAATTCTTCACTATATAATACAGATTTGAATACTTTCCCATCCTAATATTTATGACATTCCTTATGTTCTTAATGACTGGGAATGTGATATATTTGGGTTTTTTTGTCACTCTCTAGTGATTCTTGGCACATAGAAAGTACTCCCATAATATCTTTTGATATTAATATATACAAGACAATGATATGTGTGTGTGTGTTATCAGCTAAAGAGTCCTGAATGAGTTGGCATTTGAGCTGAACATTCTATTACTAGATAACAGGTGCAGGAAATGAATTATGGATATTGTAAAGGTTCAGTACATCTATCTATCTATCTGTCATCTAGTTATAGAGGAATTTAAGATAATTCTTAGGTTAGTCTGAAGAAAATATGGAGAATATTAAGGTCAATGACAGAATGTCCATAAATTATGAATTTAACTTTTATAACACACTGAGTTTTAGGTGACAAATTAATGGCTCATCATGGAATGGCCTGAAACTCTGTGTGTGTGTGTGTGTGTGTGTGTGTGTACATGCTGGTTCTGGGGCTTGAACTCAGGGATTGAGGGCTGCTCTTGAGCCTTTTTGCTCAAGTCTAGCACTGTATCACTTGAGCCTTATCTCCACTTAAAGCTTTTTGGTAGCTATTTGGAGATAAGAGTCTCAGGGTTTTCCTGTCTAGGACTGGCTTTGAACTGCGATCCTCAGATCTCGGCCTCCTTGAGTAGCTAGGATTACAATCATAAGACATTAACATCTAGCTTCTGAAGCTATTTTTAAATATGCATTTGCATATCATTTAGGAATTTTTTTCTTAATCTGGGTGCCATCTTGCTTCTACAAGCAAACATACTTCTCCATATTAACTATCTTGGCTAATAGAACAGGTAGTATTAGAACTGTTGAAGTCATTCTTGTTTTCACTCTCTCACCCTCTCATTGCCCATTTCTGATATCCTCAGCAATGTCTTCTCTTATCCTATTGGGCCTACTACTTCGATTATCCATTAGACCATTTCATCAACTTCTTAAATAAATTCTTAACTCTGCAATCAGTCTTACTCCTGAGGAATAGTTTGCATCTTCCCAGAGTGACTTTTCCAAGACCTCAGAAGGTTACTTAAATAATGGATACCTTTATTAGTCTTCTATTGCTCACAGAATAATATCTACACTCTTCATCAAGGCTGTAAGGTATGTTCCTAAAATTTCTCTGCATCATCTCCTGTTTTCTTTCCAATTCTACTACTTATTCTAGCAATAATGTGAATCCAACTTCTCTTCAATCATGCTAGACTACTTAGTACCCCAAGTAGCTTATTCCCTAAATGCTTACCCTAAATGCTCCTATGCTTCCTTTCAACTCTTCCTTCCTTATAAACTCTAAGTGGAGAAAAGATATTGTATTGATGATACAAAAAAGAGAGAGAGAGGAAAGCTATTCTGAAGGTTCCTCACTACCTTTACATTCAAAGAGTCAGTTGGAGAAGAATAGTAGGTGAATATAATCATAATATGCGATGTACACAGATGAAAATTGAACCCTGTAACTTGAGGGTATAGGTACAGAAAGAGACATTGACCAAGATGCATTGCACTTAACATTTATTTTTGAACTGAAATTCCTTTGTATAATTACTTAAATATAATTTAAAAAGAAAAATAGCTAGGTGGTGGTGGCTCAGGAAGCTGAGACTGGAAGATCACAGTTCCAGCTAACCTGGGCAAGAGAGTTCATGAGACTCCTATCTCCAATTAATCAGCAAAAATGCCAGAGGTTGAGCTGTGCCTCCAGTGGTAGAGTGTAAGCCTTGAGCAAAATAAGCTCAGGGACAGCGCCCAGGCCGAGTTCTAGCCCAAGGACCAGCAATAACAAACAAACAAATAAATGCAATTAAAAAAAGACAAGAATTCTTAAGACCCAGCCAACCAACCCAAACACTCACAGTACTACTGGTTATCTTCCAGTTTTCTGTATTCTTGGCCACAAGTTAGCTGACTCCAGTTACAGTGCTTGTCCTATCTCGACACAGTCTAGCTACAAAGAGTTTGTCTAGAAGTGATTTGCTGCCACATCTCGTTCCCAGCTAGGGCACAAGTCCACCTAGAGAGCCCCCGCTGGACCTCACAAAGATGGCTCCCGAAGGGTGCCATGACGCCTTACGTCATTACGTCCTGAAGTAAGGGAGGACCCTTCATCGAAAAGCAATGTGGGCGGGACTAAGTCCGTGGGCGGGGCCTCGAGGGATCAAGGCGGGGCGGGGCCGGCGAGGGGTCGGGGGCGCTTCTGTTATTCAGCTGGTGCGCGCCGCGGCGGGAGGCCGCGTCTGCCGAGTCCGTTCGACGTCGGGTCCCGAGAACGTGCCGGGGCCCCGCCAGTGCCAACCCAGGGGCAGCCCTGTGACCGGACGGAAGCAAGTGGCAGCCGGGACTGCGGCCGGCGGGAAGCACCGGGGACCCGGGAAGCCCGGGGAGCAGCACCTCGGCGCCTCCCTCGCCCTCG